ATACACACTCACTCACGTGCACGTGAAAAGGTTTAAATACAAGTTGAAATTGAGACTTTGAGACTTCTAATTGAGGAGTTGAGACTGGGACTAAGAACCCACCAGGAAAGCCATTACTGAGGCTTGTATTTCCAAACAAAACAGTGTCCCTCTCCTGGACATTAGAAGAATGCAGGCTTCAGTCACTTTATATTTGCTTCATTTTCAGATCTGAGGCTTGTTGAGCAGTCTGTGGCACAAAGTCTGTGTCATGATAAATGACCTAAATATCAGATTCTGTTTGTCTGGCTGTATACTTTGATGCTACTGAGTCTTAATGTTTTTACTTCAGTTCCTTCTTTCACTTGATTCAGTAGTGACTCGTCCCACTAGGTAGATTTGAAAAATGCACGTCCTTTGTGGACAAACAAGAAATCAGATGATAACCTGAATAATTTATTATTATCAGGAAGTCCTAAAAACTCCCTGAAAAGCCTTCAGTTAATCTAAAATGCTGCAGCAAGAGTCCTGACAGGGACTAGAAAGAGAGCAGATTTCTCCTGTATTGGCTTCCCTTCATTGGTTCCCTGTTAAATCCAGAATTCAAGAGCATGTTCAATTTGAACCTGTATATGTTCAAATTAACTGTTAGATTTGTATTGTTGATTGTCATTTATGCTTAGAAATATCTACTCATATATGCTTGGAGTTGTATGATCAATGTCATGTTGGTAGAGGTTTGATCCTTAATAGTCTGCAAAGACTTTCTGTGCAATCCAGAGTGTTCTGGCATTCACACCACATCCTGGGAGCATGGGAGAGGTCGTACCTTCTCTTATTGTGTTGTGGCAGGATAAACGTATCTATGTCTGTTTTAGTCTAAGTGCCTTTTGTTTAGATGAACTGCTGGACTTCCAGACCAGCAGGTTTAGGGAAGTCTTTATGGGGTCACACTCTGACCCCCCCCCCCCCCCCCACCACACACACACACACACATACATACATACTTACACAACGCACAGGCAAGGTACTCTTTGTTTGTATGTAGACATCTGTCATATGTTAATGGACCCATGTATATTCATGTAACCTCAATAAAAGAGCAGTGTTACGGGGGAGCGGTCGAGAGCGACTGGGGTCAAGCGAAGGAACGGCACTTGTCGTGGTTCTCTCCCTCATGCATGAGTAACACAAAGAACTTTGCCTACTTGGTGTTCAATACTTTTGCTGTGTAGTTGAATTGTCTTGAACGTTCCAGCGAATAGGTTTAAGCTACAAACCTATCATTAATCAGTCAGCAGCTGCCTGCATTTTTATCATGGTGTCAGAGTAAATTTGTGTTTCCACGGTCTTGGGTGAGGTAACTCATTACTGACAGAGTGAAATGTGGTGAATTTATGCCAGAGTATTTATGTGAGTAAAAGTATTTCTATCAAATGTATTGATATTTTAAGCTCGACTGTGAAATATGCCTGAGGTTAAAGTTAGTTGACCTAGCAAGAAAAGAAAATTGTGTGTGTGCACACGACTTGCTTTTGTTACCTTCTGTAATTGTAAGCATAATGTCATGATCCTGAGTCCGTGACTCAGGGATTTTGTGTTTGGTGTATTTATTGTTATTATTTTCATTATTATGTGTGGGCTGTTTTGGGCTGTTTTGTGTTTTGGGGTTTTGGATGCTGGGTTCCTGGGTTTGTGCTCCCCCTGTTGGTCCCTGGTGTTAGTGTTCCCCTGTCTCGTCAGGTTAATCAGGCCCAGCTGTGTCTCCCACCTGTGTGTGATTTCCCAGTGTGTCTCTGTGTATTTATAGTGTGTGTCTGCCTCTGTTCCTCGTCGCGTCGTCTGTGTTCATCCTCTGTGTTACCCTGCGTACTCTGCATTTCTCCGTGAATCCCCTGCGTGTTCTCCCTGCTGTCCTCCCTCCATGTTCAGTCGTGACATTAACCACTGAGTTAAAGATTTTGAACAGAACTCGAGGATTGTGACTATTAGTTGCAATAATGTTCGACAAAAAAGACGTTTTTGCCATTTTGGCAGCCTTCTGAAATTTAGACCGGCTCATATGCAGGATGTCAAGGGACCCCTGAAGTTGATCTTATTTCCATCTCCTCTCAGCTCAACGACATTCACGTCTAAGAGTGAGGGTGGATTCATTTAGTTGGCGAGAGGTTTTACGGCGTTTAGTCTTTACTGGAGCCACAGTGTCCAAAATAGAAGAACATGTAGAAATAAAAGAGTTGACTACGCCATCAACCGAGAGAGGTGCATTACGGATGTCATCGTAACAGACAGAGTTAGCAAAGGCCGCAGAGAAAAGTGCAACAGCCTGAGAATTAATCAGACGCGATAGGCACAGTGGACCCTCAGAGTTCAGTTCCATATTGCATAACTGAACATCAAACATAACTGGGAAATGGTCCGAAATCCCAGCATCATTAATGTCCGTGATGCAAATATCCAGTCCATACGACAATACCAAGTCCAGCATATGGCCTTTAGTGTGGGTTGATTTTCTCACCCACTGAGTGAGATTAAAAGAGTCAATAAGGGCAAGGAAGTCCTTAGCCAATAGGTCCTCCTCGCAGCATATATGAATGTTAAAATCACCACAAATAAGGACACGATCATAATTTAAAAAGATAAATCCTAAAAGATTAGCAAATTCACGGATAAAATCCTTGCTGCGTTTCGGAGGTCGATACACCACCGCACAGAGGGTCCGGGGGAAACGGACAGCTCCAGTAGTTGTACTTCGAAGCTGGAATACGAGGCAGGAGGCAGTTGCCGCACTCGGAATTTACTTCTAAAAACTGAGGATAGCCCTCCACCCCTGCCCGCGGTCCTAGGAAAGTTAAAGAAAGCACAATCCAGTGGAAGAAGTTCCGAAAAGGAAGAGGACTCACCAGGGCGAATCCGGGTCTCCGTTAGAAACAGGACGTCCAGCCTTGACGCGAGAAAAAAGTCGTTTACAATGAAGGACTTGTTCACCAGTGACCTAGTGTTTAGCAGAGCACGTCCTAGCTGGCAAAGATTGCTGTGATCCACACCTCCTCCAGAGACCCGCTTCCAGCTCCATACAGGTGGGCACTCAACTGGTAGGAGCGAGTGGGCTTGCTGGCCAGCATAGCGAATCCATCGATGACGACACAGTCTGAAAGTATACTGGGAGGGCCGCAAGATGTCTATGATGGAGCGGTAATTAATCACTCCATGTGCTTTTAAATAGGCTTTAATACGAGCGCGAAAACCACTCCATTTACCCCGTTTCCTATGTCGTTTCTTGTGTGGTGTATGTGTCTGTTGGAGTATCTGTTCGAGACTGGGAAAAATTCCCTAAGTTCCAATATAGATCTGGGTTTTGATGATTCAAGGGTCGAAGATTTAAAAGAGTTTGTCGATCAAAGGCAATTAGAGCAGTAACATCCGGAAAGAAGGCAAAGAGTAAACAACACTCAGGAAGACGGATCCAGAGACGGCTTGCCGTACACACTGGCGCCATCTTGTTTGTCAATTATTATTATTATTATTATTATTTTCCTGAAAAACTCCACAGTGTCAGAGCTTCTCGGACCTGCTGCCCCTGAACATGGTGCCTGCTCAGACCTGAGAGGAAACCTCAGGGGAAGCTTTCTGCTCACGCTGCGTGCAGCAGTGATTGAGCGCTGCTGACCACAATAAGGACATAATCAGATGGTAAAAAGAATACTTTGAGGATTTCCTCAATCCCACCAACACTCTCTGTGGAAGGAAAGAGTGAGGAGTTGCTCAAGGCTCAGGATGTTGTACATGACTCTGCAGCACAGTCTGGAAGTCTTTTTTGTGGATGGAGGATGTGCTCCAACACTCCTCAGCCTCCCTGGGTGGATCTTTACCTGGATGCTGGCAAGAAGAGTCTGTCTCTAAGCTAAAACTCAGATTATGGAGGAAAAGTGTGTTTTTTTATTCTGGACTTGTAACCTTGAACCATCTTGTTATCTCCTGGAGCTTATGTGAAGGACCATTCAGTCCCTGTACAACTATAGTGAGAGCTTGGTTTGCATTTCCAGGCTCTGCTGTTTGTCACCAACTCTTTCACAGCTTTAATGAAGAGAATTTGTAGGCAGATAGTTTCCACCTTCTTGGCGTCAGGATCACTCTGCTTTTTGCAGAAGATGTGGTCTCTTGGTCTCATCATGCAGTCATGAAGTTCACACTTCAGGGCAGTTTGTAGCCAAGTGTGAAGCAGCTGGGATGAGACTAAGCACCTCTGAGTCCAAGTCCCCGCTGCTCAGCCAGAAAAGGCTGGTGTGCGCACTCTGGATGAAGAACAAGTTGCTGCTCTGAATGGAGGAGTTGAGGTATTTTGGGGTCCTGTTCATAAAAGTCATGGGAAATGGACTGGTTCTAATATAGCACTTTTCTACTCTTCTGAGCACTCAAAGCACTTTACACAACTTGTCCTGAAGCCAGGAATCGAAGCACCAACCTTCCGATCAGTAGGTGACCTGCTGTACCGCCTGAGCCACAGCCGCCCAGTCAGAGAAGAGTGGAGCAGGAGGCGTGGACGGGTGCAGTGTCTGCAGGTGAGCGTGTGTTCAGAGTGGAGTTGCTTCCACTGTTAAACATTATTTGGTATCAGTTTTACACAGTGAGCTGAAATGAAGATCTTAAACTTGCTAAAGTGCAGAAAAAAACCTGCTGAGTGCTGATTGATACATTTCTATTCTATCAATTAGCAGCACTCAGCAGGTTTATATTTGATGGGTAGCAGTCTGAAAATCCTCTTTTTCTTTTCGTGACTGACTCTGAGGTTGTGAAAGACATGACTGCTCAGAGGACTGATGGAGAGGAAGAGGCCTGGTCCACATCATACAGATAATACTGACAGTTAACTTCTTAAGAACTGTGCAGAACAGCTTCTGATAACAACATGCAAATTTAGTCGCCATAGAAACAGCTGAACAGGAAGACAAACATGTGAAAGACACTTGTTGCTCAACAGCAGTGACTGAATACAAACAAACTCATTTTCTGTGCTGATATCAAATAGAAAAAAGCTTTTATTCTCACACTGAACAAAGAGAAAATATCTCTGCTAACAAGTGAGGTGGTAAATATTACATTCAGTGTCTGTAGAGTCGATGTGGTTGCTCTCATTAATGTAATTAAGGTTTATTAATACAGCGCTTTACAAGAACAAAAGTCACAAAGCTCTTTACAGCACAGAGTAAGATACAAGAATTCAAACAAGGTAAACAGATAGCATGCACAGGCAGGTCCAACAGTGTCACAGATCGTAGGTCCAGTGGAAGTGAGTTCAATAACTTGGAGAGATCCAGAGCTGATCCAGGTACAGCCAACAAGCACCTATCTGCTTGTTGGAGGTAATGCAGCTTTGCTCTGCACTCACTTCCACCACTGTTTGATTTAATAAGCTAAAGATTTTCTACATTATGAAAGTTTATTTCAGTAAAACATTGTCCTGTTAAACATTAAAGCATCAGTTTTAAACAGCGGCCTGACACTTTGCAGAAGCTAATCAAGGAAGTTAATCTTGCTAAACTGACACAAAGCTGAGCATGCAGTCTGAACACTTCCCCATTTTCTTCACTCGTGTGACTCTGAAGTTGTGAAAGACAAGAAGTTTTTCTTTTTTTAAAGAATTATTTCAATACTTTAGATTTAGCAAAGAACTGTGTGTGTACATGGTACATGACAGGAAGAAAGTTTTTTAACTCCTCGAATGACTGAAGGAGAGGAAAAGCTCTGATCCTGAAAATGTTTTCAGTAAACTTAAGAACTGTGCAGATCAGCTGTCTGACAGATTTCCCTGCATCTTCACTGAGTCACTTTACTGCCACAGGATCACTGATTGGACCTGTGCTCAACTTCAAAACACCAAAATCCCTCAGTGACCATAATTTACAAAGCTATGACATCACAGCATCTGACCAATCAAATGTTGTCACGGTCCTGTTGTTACATTAAAATAAAATCCCATTCAAACAGATTTTGGTGTGAATCAGATTATTTACACTGAGAGCTTCCTCTGGTCCCTTCACAGAGAAACGTGGCAGCAGCAGCTTGAAGCTAAGCTACACTCGAGTACAGCGAATCATCTCTGACATCAGAGCTCACATGGACCCGAGGCGCAGAGTAGATAACTTCACCAGTGTTACCACTCGAGGCTCCGTTGGGAGAGCCAAAAGTCCTCTTGGAAAAATTCACCTCAGAGTAGGTGAGTTTGCTTGAGTCGTCTCCCTCCTGAAAAAGAGAACGTGCAGAGATGAAACGGTTGATCAGCTGCCACATTTTCAATAATGTTTAGGATTGTTAACACAAACCGACTCGAAGGACGAGACGAGCAGGTGCGTCGTCAGCCCTGAGTGAGTGGGGCCTGAGCCCCGCTCTTGTAATAGAACAGTTCATTAAAGGGCCGGTGTGTTCAGGCATCTGTTTGTCACCGGGCATCACAGGGGATAAATAATGTGAGCACTGTGTGACTGATGTTATTTATTTAAGAATGAAAAATGAACCCCTCACTTGTGTGTAATTTTCCTGTTTATGTTTTGTTATGAAAAGAACATCGAGGGAACCGTTTACCCTTCCCGGGATAGGGTTACCGGGGCCCTGTCCTGGAGCCTGGCCCGGGGAGGGTGCCTGAGGGCGAGCGTCTGGTGGCCGGGCCTTAGTCCATGGGGCCCGGCCGGGCACAGCCCGAAGAGGAGACATGGGCCCATCCTCCCGCAGGCCCACCACCCGCAGGAGGCACCATAGGGGTCGGGTGCATTGTGTGCCAGGTGGCGGCTTCTAATTTCAGTATTCTCCTCTGCCTGTTGTCTTCCACAGGCTTCTGTTTGGGGTCTTTACTGTTTCAGCACATTCTGAGCACTTTAACACACATGATGTTCAGCTGCATGTCTCTCAAACCCCAAAATGTTTCTGAGCTGCAGAGCCTGTGTACAGTAGGTGGATCACTGATAACTTTCTCCAACCTGAAGAAAAAATAGTCCCAGTTTGTGCTCCTGACAGATTTGTGTGTAAAGTAACGGAAAGTCCCTTTGACACGTGTACTAAATCTATCAGAAACCATTAAGGTGACTGTTGTTAAACCCTTTTTTATCACTTAAGAAATATTACAAAGTTAAGTCCCATTGTGTCACAGTATGACTGTACTCAGTGAACGTTTCCATCCACACGTCTGCAGCAGGTCTCTGAGGTCATGTTTTTATGTTCTAGCATGCTGCTATCAGCACTGTGTGATATTTATCTTTAAACCTGCTGAACTAATAAAATTCTACTTACTAATTTCACCAAAACTGTGACGCTGTGAGTAAAGTTGATCAAACTCACCTCTGTGACAGCAGCCTGCTCGGTTTCCACAGGAGGATCTGAAAACACATCAGAGAGAATATTTTTGATGATTTAGTGCTGACAGATCTCCATCTGTGACGACCTTCACCAAAGACACTGAAGACTTTATTCAGAGAGTGATTCAGACAACATTTCTGCCAGGCTTTGGATATAAATTCTCGTGATGGTTTCCACCACATCTCCTCCAACATGCTGAAGCCGGTCAGAAACCTTCAGTTTTTAAAAAGTCATTTTTAAGTAGTTTTCGACCAAAACATCAGCAGGAGCCACACAGCAGATTTAATCAAGGCAGAATAGTATTTTAAGTATAAATTAACTGTAACATTAGCCACACGTGACTCCTCTGCTTTGGGCTATTTATCAATGATTAATGTGAAACTTTAAATTTTCATTTGTGTAATAAAAAGATTGTTTCTGGTTTGTTTTTAATTTGCTTTGCTGTCTGTAAATCACAGTCAGTTTAATGTTAGCACCTGCTGCTGTAACAGTAACTATTACATCACTTCCAGGTGTAACTGGAAGTTTAAACTGAGCAGCAGTTCACTCTCTTAACCTGAATTCAGATCTTAAGGTGGTTTTTGTTCAGTGATTTTTCTGGGTTGAGGTTGTGTTGTTGTGTTTGTCTTTTCAAAGCTTTAATTCACAAAGAATTAAATACAAACTGAGCGATGAGTGTGTCTGTCTGTGTGCTTCCTGCTGTCTCACCCTTTGGTTTAGAGGATCTTTTCTTGCAGAATATCAGCACAGACACTGATAACAGGATGATGATGAGAGCCAGAGTCAGACCCACAACCAGCAGCACATCTGCAGCTGATTGAGAAGAACAACAAGCTGAAGACATGCGCACAGTATATAGAGCTGTACAGTAAGAACTCATCTCCTACAGACTGAAATAATATGAAATAGAGTTAGTGTTATTTTAGCATTTTACAGCTTCTAAAGAACATATTCACCTTAGATTGTTTGCTAATGTCACTTGTCAAACTAAATGAAAAGCATATAACAGGACACATTAAGGAGTAATTATGATAATAATTAAACCAGTTTTCACTCAGGTTATAAAGAATCTGTCAGTGTTTCTACTCTCAGACTCATAGATGGATGTACCTGCAGATGCTGCTCTTTCAGGCTGCTCAGTGCTTCCAGTCAAAGTTAATGAAGGTGTGCAGCTTCCTGTAGTCGTGGCTGATGGTCCAGCTGCTGAACAAGAGCAGAGAGGAAAGTTTGACTTATAAATGTTTGGAGCTGTGAAGAAGAAAAACACAAAGATTCAAAAATCAGCTGAGAAATCAAACGAGCCTTAAATGGATCCACTGACTGAGAAAAAAACAGTTTGGAAAATTTAGTGTTAGATTAAAAAAATGCACTAAAATAGTTTAACAATGAAATAAAATATGAATGTATGTTGAAATATCAGGTTCTTGGAAACAATAAAGACATTTAGGGACATTAATGGTCACCTGTTCATTTCCAGCTCCACACTCTGATTCCTGCTCTCCATCACAGTAACTTTACATACATTTCACATTCTAAATAATCTTGTTTCTAAATAATTCTGTTTCTATGTTGAGATAAACTGAGTGCTGAGAGCAGCCTGAGCTGTTGGCTCACAGGGATCACTGTACAGACACTGAGCTCATTATTAGAAACTTTGCTCGTGTTCAACATGAACATCCACCACTGGAACAGCAGATATATGACAGGAAATAAGGAACAGCTGAACAGCTCCACTCTGACAACATTTGATTAATGTCAGTAAAAACTCACCGTCTGTGACAGTGACCTCAAAGTCTCTGAATGAACTGCTGGAAGATCCACTCAGGTAACATCTGTACCGTCCTGAGTCAGACTTGGTCAGCTGTGTGATGCTCACATACAGAACTCCTGAATCATATCCAATGTTGTATCTGCCGCTCTGAGCTTTGACATCATCTGTTTGAACAAGACCGTCGCCTTGTCCACATTTTCCCCTGCAGAACAACTTTGTGTTTCCAGGTTGATTAAAGGAACATCCGACTGTGAGAGAGCTTCCAGTTTCTTTATCAAAGTGTTTCAGCTGATCATCGTTTCCATCCAGCAGTGCTGTTAAAGAGACAAATGATCAATAGTTACTATCAGTGCTGAAGATGATGCAGTCTGATCAGAGTAACTCCAGTTTGATCCACAGTTACACTGGGAGCTGCCCAGTTCAACCAGTCTGACAGAGGAACTGTTGAACTAAGTGAGATTTAAACGGCTTCATCATCAGACTGATTGGATTCATGAAAACCAGCTTTTATGACAAGTATAGACTCTAAACTGTGAACCCTTCATGGTTTTAAGTACATTTAAAGTCTGGATGGACGTTTGTGTTGTGAATGTGATTGTCACACATTCATTGAGGAAGAATCCATTTTGCTGTGAGGGGAACTCTTGGAAAGATCAAACCGACGACACAGAAGCAAAAACTCATCAAAGAAAATCAAAGTTACATCAGAAAATCTTCTTCCATTCATCAGCGTCTGTTTCTGACATCAACATTTCATTCACATCATTATCAGCTGACACACTCACTAATATTCACACACACTCGTGTCCCAGCTGCAGTTCATCGGTTACTTAGAGGAGTCCAAATGTAACCAACAGTTGACAGAAGAACAAACTTCAGCTTCTTTAAACCGTCAGCAGCTGTCAGTGAAACTCAAACTTTGCTTCAGGAACAGAAACTAAACATTTCCACAGCTGAAACAGAAACTCACCTTCAGCAACAACGATCACAAACTGTGTGAGTGAAGCTGATGATGAAGATCCACCCAAACCACAGCTGTACTGTCCAGAGTCAGACTCAGTCAGCTTTGAGATGCTCACAGATAAAACATGAGAACCAGTCCATTCCTATTTAATGCTGTATCTGCCTGTTTGAGCTCTGACATCAGTTGTATTAATGAGAATGTTTTCTCCTTCACATTCTTCTCTGCAGAACATCTTCCATGTTCCTGGAGAATTAAAGGAGAATCCAGCTTTAAAATCTCCTCCAATGACTCCATAGTGAAGAATCTGAGCATCGGTGACTTCAGGGTTTCCCTCCTGCAGAGCTGTTGGAAACATGAACCATCAACAGTTACTGTTTGTACTTCCTGTAAGAAGCTGCAGTCTGATCACAACATTCACACACAGACACACTGAGACTAAAGTCTGAATAACAACAATGATTCATGTCAAATACATTTTATTGTCTAAAGTGGTGGAAAATCTTCTTCCAGTCGACACGACTCAAAATATATCTGAACATGTTTCCTATGTGTGACAGGTGAGACCTGGAGACTCGGGACCGCCCCTGGTGGGCGGAGCTGGTCTTTACTCCTTTTATAAGCGCAGGTGTGGGCAATTGGGTATTCCTCTGCAAACCTGAAACTGCGAGTGCTTGGTCCGAGTTGGGCAAGTTGGTGTTTCTTAACTATGAAAGTCTGATACGGGCCTTCCCCTAAACTTCTGTTAGAACGGTAGGTTACACAAAAATGTACCACTTGAGCTCTGGCTGTTGGCAGAGGTTTACAGTTATTTGCACCCTTGTAGGTGGGAAACATTGCTCCCGTGAGAACGGTATAGTGGACTTCATCGCCACTGACCCACATTTATTAGGGTGTGACACGAACTTGTGGACAGGTAACAAAACCAATTCAGTTGAGGAATATTCCTGTGTTTTACTGTCCAACTAAGTGATCTCCTGCCTTTTATTTACAGAGTACCGAGCTGCTGCTTTGCCAGGTGGATTTCTGGCTGCGGGTAAAGGACCCGATACCTCAGTGTGTTTTAATTTGTTTTAAACCGGTGTAAGTCGACAGACTGACTGTTGCGGCTGTCGATGGTTTTGTTTTCTTCTGTATCAGTAGGCACCACAGATATTGATCCTTTTAGTATTTTAACTCCTTTTTTATATATATATATTGTCGCAGACGGTGAAGGCGCTGCAGGGAAAACAAATCCTTTTTTTGTCTCCCTGCTTTTGCATGCACAGCGGTGGGCCTGAGTGAAGACGGCACCGAAGATTTGCCTTTTTCTACAGTGTTTTACCCATTTGGGGTCATGTGTGAGTTGCCGTCCACTTTTAACCTGTGTGCTATGTCGATTTGTTTTTAAACGGTTCCCCGCAGCGCTTGTCCTGGCTCATGGGCAATCGTACAGTTTTATAGTTTCTAATAAGGTAAAGTTTTTAATTGTTTTTAGGTGCCGCTGTTACACTGTTTCTTTTATTTTGTATTAAAAATCTTTTAAACTGACTGTGCGCCTACGGCTCTGTCCTATTTTAAATAGGTACCTACCACGGGTCACAAACGCATGAATAAAATGACAATAAAAGATGAAGATGAACAAAACATGACATGTAAATGACTCATAACTCCTCTGTGTGGTACTTGTAGTAATTATATGTTGAGAGATTGAAGCAACAGCTCAACATGCAAGTTTTTCATGTGTTTCATCCACAGGAAGTGATGTCATCATTTAGTTTAAATGTACTGCTGGTGTCAAAGTTCATGAAGCAACAACAAAACCAGTGATGAAGTTTTTATTTGTTGTAACTTTGTTTTACTGAGGGTGATCGTGGCTCAGGAGTTGGGAGTTCACCTTGTAACCTGAAGGTTGCTGGTTCGAGCCCCGGCTTGGAGAGTCTCAGTCGTTGTGTCCTTGGGCAAGACACTTCGTTTTCTTTGAGGACGTAACAAATACTTGCAATTAACGACATGTTATTGAGTAATTTATGACTCTATTTCAAAGCTCTGAAGCCAAACTCAGCAGCTGATGTGAGTCAGTTACTTTATGTGAATGATTTCAGTTCATTCCAGCATTTAAACTCTGTGCAGTCGTATTTCTGTTCAGCTCCAACAGGACAAACAGGAAAATTAGGAAATAACTTTTCACACAACTCTGGGTTTGAAGATGCTGACAGATTTCACTCACAGGTTTATATTTGTCTGCAGGAAGTGATGTCATTATGTCAAATCTATATGCACTGTGGGAGTGAACTGTGAATAGTCACAGTGAAGAAACATGAACATGTAACAGTAAAAGCAACAAAATGTGTTTTTGTCTTTCAAAGAAAAATTCATTGACTTGATCAACAAGTTTGTATTTTCAAATAATAACTGAAAGTATCAGGTGGAGTTTTTACTTTGATATTACAGGTTATTTTGAGGACGTAACAAACACTTGTAAGAAACCATCTTTGAAAGGACGAATCCTAAAGCCAAAGTGAGCAGCAACATGTCCATGAATGTCTCACTGTGATGGTTTCTTCTGTCCATACTGGCCACAAACACATCCATGAAATCATGAATAAAAGCAGTTTGAATGGAAGAAGCATCCATGAAAGTGACTCATAGTGACTCTGATCATCATGTTTAACAACAGAAACATGTTGAAGAAGGAGAGTGACAGAAAGAACAAGTGAATGTACTCACAAAGGAAGAAGCAGCAGATCAGAGTGTGACGGACTTTCATGATGAGGCTCTGATGGTTCACTGCTGCCTCTCTTCTTCTTCACTGGAAACCAGGAACTCGTGACGCCTCACTTCTCTGACTGAAGGAGTCCCTCCTCCAAACACCACAGCACCTCTACACTCCTCCCCTCTGCATCCCTCTATCAGTCTGCTGCAGGGCCTCAGGCTTCCTCCTTATATTTATAGTATTATGTGCAAAGTGCTGCAGGAAATACAATGATGACACTTGACTCTGTTAAATTCAGCACAGTGACCAAAACCTCCAACAATGATCATCATTCATCATGAAATCATTTCTCTTTCTGTATCTGAAGAACTTTAGTTTGGGATCATTTAGAAAAACAGTTTGGGTCAAATGTTAGAAAAGAGTCAGACTTTCTTTCTTCTCACAGTTTGTTTAACAGTTTCAAATCTTTGCACATTTAAATACATCTATGAACAGAATATGAAAGAACAACAGTTCTGATATTATATCAAACATTTCAATCACCTTGTGGTTCAAAGTGGTATTACATGACAGCCTCATGTAATACCACTTTGAACCACAAGGTGACGCACGAGTCATGAGACATCCCAACATTATTCCAGTTAGCTCAATATTCCAGTTCCAGGAATGCAGGAATGTTACTGTCACACTCAGCCAACTGATCCTCCTGAGACACAGAAAAAAATCTTTTGACAGAGTAAAGTTTAATATTAAACAAATTAAATAAATAAATCAGCTGTAATCTGATATTTGTGACCTACCGGAGACTGAGAGAGAGCAACTTGTGTTTTTGGAAACATTTGAAGTGTTGCTGAATTCCAGTGTAAGGCTGAGGGTTTATCCTCGTCAGTGTTCGCATTATGTTCCACGGTTGATGTACCTGATGTTTGTTCCAGAACCACACCCACTGTTACACACTCTGAATGAGGCAATAAAGGGAATCATCTTCCTATTGCTGCCTGGCTTCATTCTGTTAAAGACTTTATTCTTTCCCCCTGAAAGGAGACCTCACTGTGATGGTTACTTTGATGGACTGTCTAATCTTGAACAATTTGTCTCAACTTATTGAACTGGCCATAATTAGGAGCCAGCAAATTGTGACCAGGTTATCTGAATCATGCTAAAAATACAGATACACTGAAAAGTGTTTAAGTTACGACTGCCTCTAGAAATGAACGCCTCCTGTTGTTTGTGCGCTCGGATTTTCTTTCCCTAAAAGCAGACGGCCTGTTTCCTGTTTGATGTAATCAGAGGACTACCTGCTTGGTGTTTGTAGGCAACTGTCCCAGGTTCATGTTTCATGGTAAAAAAACGTTTCAATGGTATTTCAGTATGATTATAACTGAACTGATCATGACAGGAGACCTACAGTTTAATGTTGTTTAAGCACACATGTTATGAATTTTATAAATCAACAGGATGAAGGAACAAATCAAACTCATTCGAAATATTCTACAAGCTCTCGCATTTCTCAACATTGTTACCTTCAGACTAATGTGTGACGATGGAGCTCTTTCTCAGTGTGAGACAAAGTTCCCAGACAGGTCCAGCCCACTGTTCTTACTCTGATTTCACAACAACTATTATGGAATCAAAAACCTCAAAGTGCTGACTGACTGCTAAATACATCTGTAAAATCTGTCATATAATTTCTTTTATTTGCATCAGTGTGAAGAGAACGTCTCTGTATGTAATGAGCCTGTCTGCAGCCAGCAGCCGCCTGTGTACTGTGTGCTGAATCACTCCACCCTGTCTTTCTGTAGGCCTGTTTGTGTGGCAGGTCTCATGTACTGGAGGGTTAGTGCAGCTGGATTTCCACCAGTGACACTGACAACATCTGGCTGGTTCCCCTCCCTGAGACACTTTTTGAGTTTTGCTTTGGGTTCTTGAATCAAACAGCACTGTGTGCAGCATTTCTTCACCCACACACTCATTTACTGCTGATTATACTGACTAGACCCACCATGGTTATCACTCTATCCAATGGCTGTTAATAGCAGTTATCACTCCCAAGTATGGCTCAGATTGGCCCTCCTGTTCTGCAGCTTCACCCCAGCACAGTCTATCCTCCAGTTCCTGGGGCTTCTCCTGAACCTGCTCCCTCACCCATCCCTGTTCCCGGGGTGAGAGCGACCGGGGCCCGGCCTGCACCCGCGCCAGTTCCTCAGGTGGGGACAGCTGTAGGGCTGCAGCTATTGATTATTTAAGTAATGGAGTAATTATTTTTAAAATGTGCTGTTCAAATGAAGCTGGCTTGACTTGAATATTAATACTGAGTTGACAGAATCCACGTGTATTGCATAAAGACACATAAAAAGTAAAGACTTTATATCCATGTATCTGATAACAGGAGTTCTAAACTAAAACTCCTCCAGGTGACGGTGTCACGGCAGCTGCCCTGGAGTAAAACACAAACACAAGATTAGAGCCTGACGTCAGGGCGGTGAGGTAATGTCAGGCACTGCTGCCCAGATTAAAGTCTCCAGGTTCAAGGGTCTTGGTCAGCTGGGGTCTTTCTGTGACATTCATGTGCTCTCCCACGGTCCAATGAGACGGTTGTCAGGTTGTGCCCAAAACATATAGGTTTTTGGGTGACTTAATATTTGAACAAAAAGATCAATTTACTGTCAACCCAGCTGTTGGGTTTCCATCTGCATTGGTCACAGACTGGTGGATAGAAGCAGCAAACACATATTGTTCCTGTTGGAGGAAACCAGGACTGTAAGCACGCTGTGAACTAGAATATGATTTTTATGAAACTGTAAACCCAACCCAACGGTTGATTACATGGTCCACTATTGTAGCTCTGATGTCATCAGCATTTCTATTTCTTACTCTTCTTACCCTTCCTCTCCCCCCTCCTCATCTTCCTCTCCCCCCTCCTCATCTTCCTCTCCCCCCTCCTCGTCTTCCTCTTGCTCCTCCTTGTCCTTGTCGTCCTCTTCATCCTACTTCTTCACCTCCACGTCCTCTTCCTCGGCCTCCTCTACTTCTCACTCTTTCTGCTCCCTCCATTGTACTCCGCACACACAGCTTACCTGTATTATAGTGCTTAGGCTGATTGCAAAGTGAACGAATTATCTAAAAAAGTTTTCACATGTGAAAGTGTGCCAGACAGTTGGCAAATTAGTGTTAATCATAGCCATACATGTGTATACTGTTGCTAGGAGTGTGTTGGAAATTTGGTAATTGAGTGTTGTGCAGTGAATTGTGCCTACAGTTTTGCAAAGTGTGTGTTACAAAATTGCAAACTGAGTGCAAAGCAGTTTTTGTGCTTTTAGTTTTGCAAACTCAGTGAGTGGTTTTGCTATAAGTCTGAATAGTTTTAGAGATTGTGCTACAGGAATCATAGTTAGGGTTTAAGCATTCAGAAAAAACTGTAAACACCGGGCGATCGTGGCTCAAGAGTTGGGTGTTTGTCTTGTAATCGGAAGGTTGCCGGTTCGAGCCCCAGCTCGGACAGTCTTAGTCGTTGTGTCCTTGGGCAAGACACTTCACCCTACTGGTGTTGGCCAGAGGGGCCGATGGCGTGATATGGCAGCCTCGCCTCTGTCAGTCTGCCCCAGGGCAGCTGTGGCTACACCTGTAGCTTCCTCCACCAGTGTGTGAATGAATAGTGGAGATGTAAAGCGCTTTGAGGGCCCTGAAAAGCACTATATAAATGCAATCCATTATTATTATAGAGAAAACAAGTTTTTTTTTTCTTTTCTCTCTCATTGGTTATTAAAGGAACTTTAATATATTTTAATTCCACCTGACACCTCCACAGGGTTTCAATATAAAGAGTTCAGAGAGTTGAAGACATCCCAGCACAATGCAG